TTGAGTTCAATAACCTATAAAACATCATATTAAACTTTAAGATTGAAGTGATTTCCGTAAATGCAATTATTCTTTTTTAATTAGCATAGGATTCTTTACCTGAAATTTATGGAGTTATCCTACGACGATCTTCTACATGCTTGACTCGAATTTGTAACTTCAGGTACACAAGCTGAAATTTGTAAAGATGTTAGCATTTTATACATTTTCACCTCATAAAGTAACTAAACCCGAAAAGTAACATTCTTAATTCAAAATAAGCTTCTCGGCACAAATTCGCCTTTTTAAAGCTCCCAAATTTACTTTCTATCAGCTCGATCCAGACCTCTCCTACATTGATATTATGCTAGAACCCTTATGGAAGCTCGCAAAAGATTTTTGACACTTCAGGAACTTAATCGATGCCTCTGACGGCTACCAGAAAGGAAAAATACACGAAACTTCAATTCAGAAAAGTGAGTAAGGAAATGAAAGCTTCAAGTATCGTGAAAGAGGGATTTGTACTTGTGAAATTTGTCATAGAGCCATAAATTATGAATTGCGGCTTCTCTCTGAGCCGCTCATCCCGCCTGCTATTTGCGGCCCGCAAGGGCCGCAGCTTTGCTCGTCGAGAGTGGAAGGAAAAGAGAGGGTTTGGGAGAGAGGAGAGGCAGAGGAGAATTCGGGAGGGAACAGAAAGACTTCGAACCTTAGCAGCCCTAATCAACCGAACAATGAGATTAAAATGTGTGAGGGTCGATTGTAAACAGTGGATTTAACAATTAAGGGATAATTACGTAGGAATTAATTAGGTTAGTTAATTTAATAAAGTTTATAACTTTTAAATTTTATCTCTCAATTCTTTTATAATTTACATACAGTGTTTCATATACAATTGATCGATTTCTTGTGTAGAATTTAATAAAATTATTTCGATCAAATTCTGGGAGATGAAACATTGGGGCAAATTTTATGTCGGAAAAAAAATTTAGCTGATTTCTCAAAATGGGTTATTACAATCTCCCCTCATAAAATTTCGTCCTCAAAATTCATAAACTCCACATCAACTATGAAGATGAAACAAAAGTGATTACAAAAATCTATTTCTTGTCAAGTTATAACGAAAACATATCAAACTCTATGTATCAGCATCAATAACAATATGTTCTTCCAGTTTTTGATGGGTTGAGGAATAAACACTTGAACGGATGTTTTGACTTGATTGCTCCTTATGAGCCATAGTATCAGCTTCTGCTATCCTCTGCTAAATGTAGATATTTCCTAAAAATTCTTCTGAACCGGATCTCTTCCTGAATGATCTGATGTGAATTTCTGAACAGAATTACGACAATTTCTCCTCTAATGTCCAGGATGTCAGCACAAATAACGCACCTTCAACTCACATAGGCATTCACCGCGATGTTGCTTTACACACTTAAAACAAAGTTGTATAGTGCTACTGTCAGCCTGGCTAACAACTCCACCAGGGTAGGAATTCATCTTCTTCCCACTAGACTCTCTGCCTAAAAAAATTATTGGTATCACTTCTTAACTCTTCCTCTTATGCATGTCTCTACGCTTCTGAGTATGTTGTAAATCAATCTCCACCCGCTTAGCTCTCTCCACTAGTACTCAACAGTCTTCAATCCCAAGTGGCACCAATCTAGAAAGAAACTTGTGGCATTCACCTCTATATGTGGAACGAGTTGTGGTGCATACTTTAAAAGCAGGAATCAACTGGGTGCATATCTTGATAGCATAGTAAACTCTGTTTCGTATTGCATAACTGATCAATCTCCTTGCACCAACCTAACGAATTTATCTTGCATTTGTTTTCTAACCGACAGTGGTACAAAACAATCTCTAAAGATTTTCACAAACTCGTCCCACTGTACCAAGTGGCTAGTTCTACCTCCAAAATTTTGTATATGAGCTTGCCACTATCATTTTAGCTTTCCCCCCAAAAGCAAAAATGGCTAAGGTAACTCTCCTGTCCGGTGGACAAGACATACCAGATATGATTTTCTCCACCTCAATAGCCAATTTTCTGTTTAACTGGGCCTTCTGCTCTAGAAAATAAAGGCGGTCTCATATCTTGAAAATACTTCAAATACTTATCCATTGGTGTTTTTCCACTGGTACTAACTTGAGATTGAGATTTCTTAATCAACTGTGTTATAGCATTCATCATATTAGAGAAAGCACCAGCACTAACTGTGATATTCTGGGATACAACAGATTCTATATTCTCATCTTTAACATCTTCCTCCGGAACATCCATAATTCTAAAAAAAACAACCATATAATTTTAGTATACTCGATTAAAATTTTTAATTTATATTATTTATAACTTAATCCAAATATCCTATTGGCTCCTTCGTTAAAATTCAAATTATTTAATCAAAACCTCTTGCTCCGATATAAACCTCTGCTCTGATACCACTTAGGTCATGACCCGACCAAAGGCCTGGAATTAATCAAGAAGGGGACGAATGGTCGAATGGTAGAAATCAAATTTCTATTATTCTAATTTTATTATCAAAAATTTAATATTCAAATAATACATGAAAAAACCACTAATGAAATCAATTAAAATTAACAAGTGAAAATTTGTACATGTCTATTTGTCGTTCTCGTCTCCTATAAATATTGGTTCATCTTCTATTCATCTTGTTCAAATGTTTAAAACCTAAAAATAATATTAAAAGAATATAGTAAGTTGTCTAAAGATAACTCAGGAGCAATCAAACTTCTAAACTATAGTAATGCAAAGAAAAAAAACTTAATATACATGCAGGTTTGTAAGAAATTTTATAATATGCTGATTTTTCATATTTTTATAAGCAATGTGATACATGTTAATGCATGCATCAATGACCTTTTTCTAAATGAACATACTCAATTTTCTATAAACATTTACTTCAACTTTACTTTTACTTAATACTTCACAGACACTCTTGTCTCTATGTGAGGATCACCATCAATAAACCTAACCCACCCTTAGCCAATATTGCCCCGTCGGCTTCCGTCGACCAAACATTTAGCGATCTACCCATCGCAATTGTTTAGAGGGGAAAAACTTTATCTGCTCCTGACCAATATTATCTCTTCGGCACATTGGTTAGCAATGTAAACATCACAATTATCTGGGATAGTGGAAATTCTACGGGCGCGAGTACACTGGCGTCCCCTTTCTGAACCATTAGAGGGTGAAATCCTGCTCTAAACATGCACAAACAAGCATTACTATAAATGTTATTTCATCCTTCATACATACATTATTCTTAAATATTTCTATGCAGTCTACTAACATGCATACTTCTCTATTGTGCAGTCATTCATCATACATATCTTTTATATCATTCATATATTTATCTCATACATATTTTTTATTCATATCATGCATATATTTCCTACATGCATATCTTACATGTATATCTTACATATAATGTCTATATAAATATCATTCATCTCATGCATGCATTTTTTTTATAACATTTCAGTCATAAATAAGTTTTTTATCTAATAATATAAAGAATCTACTGCAATATAAATCCAACTGAACTAAAGCATACATATAGATCAACATACATTTGAAAATAAAGACGATTGCTGAAATTTAGAAATATAATTATTCACCTCAATTGTTCACCGTTCTACTTCTGAAGTCATAATCTTTGATAGTTGAAGGTTGTGGTGACCTTTATATTGAGGTCAATAACCTATAAAACATCATATTAATCTTTAAAATTAAGTGATTTCCGTAAATACAATTATTCTTTTTTAAATTAGTATAGGATTCTTTAACAGAAATTTATGGAGTTGTCCTACAACGATCTTCTACAGCTTGCCTCAAATTTGTCGCCTCAGGTAAACAACCAGGAATATATAAAGATAAGAGTAGTTTTATACATTTTCGGCTCAAAGTAATTAAACCCAATAAGTAACATTCATACCTCAAAATATGCTTCTTAGCACAAATCTATTTTTCCAAAGCTGTCGAAGTTGATTTTCATCACTTCCAATCACACCTCTCCTATGCTGATATCGAGCTAAAACCCTTATGGAAGCTCACAAGAGACTTCTGACGCTTTCAATAATCAATCGACACATTCGACAACTACTGGAAAGGAAAAATGCATGAAAAATGAGACAAATTTAATTCGAAAAGGTGAGGAAGGAAATGAAAGCTTCAAAAATAAAAGGATTTGTGCTTACAAAATTTGCCACAGAGCCCTAAATTGCGAATCGCGGCTTCCCACGGTGCCGCTCGACCCACCCGGTACCCGCCGCCCCTGCACTGTAGCAAGGGTTGCAACTTTGCTCACCGCGAGTGGAAGGAACAGGGAGGGATCGCAAGAGAGCAAAGAGGCAGAGGAGAGGAATTTGGGAGAGAAGGGAAGGACTTCGAAGCTTAGCAGCCCTAATCAACCGAACAACGAGATTAAAATGGGAGAGGGTCGGTTGTGAACAATGGATTTGAGGATTAAGGGATAATCACGTAGGAGTTATTTAGGTTAATTAATTTAATAAAACTTACAACTTTCAAATTGTATATCCCTTAATCCGTTCATAATTTACATACAGCGTTTTATATGGAATTAATTGATTTCTTGTGTAAAATTTAAAAAACTATTTCAATCAAATTCAAAGAGATGAAAACTTTTGGATACATTTCTTGTCGAAAATAAAAAAGCTACCAATTTCTCAAAAGTTGCCAATTTCTCAAAATAGGTTATTACAGACGACGCTGTTGCTAATTTAGTTTCTAGGAGAAGGAAAATTTAACAATGACATGTTACTTGTCATGAATCACTTTCAAATGGTTGATGAGAACTTATCTTCCAATCGTTCATCAAATGACAGAACTAATACAAATGCTCCAATTGTTTTAAAGGTAATGATACTGCAAATGTTCAGTCATAACCTCCATATTATCACAATTCATTGGTAGATGATTCAAATAGCATTAGGAAAAATAAAATAACCGCAAAAATTCAAGCAAAGATTAAAGCACATACCAAACAGAAGTTTCATCGATCTTTTCCTCATTAGCAAGTCTATACGTCATCAAATATAACCACATTGCACTAATAACCCTATCAACTAGGGTTTGAGCAGAAGTCAAATCAGGCAGACGCGGTTTAAGAGCAGAATCAACAACAAGCTTTCCACTGTCCAGGATGCTTGATGCATTGATGTCATTTAATGAAGATAATCCAGGAAGAGATTCAATAATCCGCAATGCACTGCTGCCGAGTGGACCCGGAATGTCCACCTACAAAGTAAAACACGCTTATATGAGTAACAGTTGTATAAAGTATGTGCACATAGAAAAGTTAAGAATAACAGGTCCATGTCAGCATATTTTGTTCAAGATAAAATTTGAATTTATGGGGCCAAAAACAAACAAATGATGCACATAATTATGTATATACATGTTTGCACATGCCTACAAAGAGAAATAAGTGATACCTCCAATTCCTGTAAACAAGTGAATCCCCTTAAAAGATCTAACAAATCATCAGGAGCAACCCCATCCAGAAAGTTTCCTTTGAGATTTATATGTGATAGTAATGGCATAACAGCGGGAGAAAAAGCCTGCCAATGAAAAAGATTAAACATTAATAGAATTTCAGACAAAGCTTTTTAAAACTATGTTTCTGTTCAATTTCAAAGTTGATTAGAAAGTTTTTTGTTTCAATTGTATTGAAGTAGCATTTATTATTTTCATTGAAGAAAAAAAGTTAAGCAGATGCATATCAGAAGAAGACATTCATCTTAAAAAGGATAGGTACATCTTGAAGCCATTCATCTTAGGTTGATCATACTAAAACCATTCAAATCTCACCTTATCTTTCATATTTTACCTAGTTGTTTTGATAACAAAATTTTACGAACTTAAAATGAAATTTCTAAAAATCATAATTGATATAAAAGCTAAATCATAACATAAATTATATTGAACCATACTATAGGGAATTATGGGCCTTTGTGTGAACTATATGATCATGGGATTTCGTCATGCTTGCCCTTTTATTTTCTAGATTTTGTTGAGCTTAATTTTGAACTTCATCAAAAGTTACCAGTTTCGTGACTTACAAAAGGTGGGTTGAGAAATTAGAGGTAATAACTACACTCTCAATTTGTTTATTCTCATATTTTTTTGTTATTGTCTAAACTCTCTCCTTCCATACAATGTTACAGGCAATGTCAACAGCCAAAAAATATAAGTGGTGCGGAATTGAGCCGAAGTTCGAAGAAAAATTAGACATAATGTTTAAGGGTATTGTGGCGACGGGAAAGCATGCAGAATCCATCGTTCGCTGCTACTCCTGAACAAATTGTTAATGATCCCCTTTACATGTCATATTTTAAGATAAGTTTTATTAGTGTGTTACGTTAACTTCAGAATATAATGAGTTTCTAACAATGGATAACAGAATTGCATTGGAATCAACAGGATGCACGTAGATGCCCGACTACCAAGCCACGAAAAGATCGCGTACATTGGTCAGAGAGATTCAACAACCTAAAATATCATGGCAGTATATGACTTCAATATGTGTTTCGCATTTGTAATAGCGGAATGGAAAGGGAGTGCACATGACAGTCGTCTTTTTTCCTATGCAACTAGGAATAGAAAGCAGTGTTTCTCTCACCCATCTCCAGGTTTGTTTAGTTATGTTAATCTATGACTTATATGTATTATTTGTCATTAATATTGTCTTTCATAACAGAGAAATATTATTTGGTTGATGTCGAATATCTGATGTTGAGGGGCTACGTGAAGCCCTATCCAGATACCAAATACTATATTCATGATTTTGAGAAAGCACGTGACATGATCCATTGGAGAAAAGAAATGTTTAACAAATGTCGCTCCTTGAAAGAACATTAGGGTGTGGAAGAAGAAATTGGTCATATTACATGATATGTCGTCGTATCCATTTCCAAAACAGGTGCATATTGTGGTGGTCACTATGGCATTTCACAACTTCATTCGACGACATCCCTCTCAATCAGATACGGACTTCAGTTTGGTTGATGACGATCAGCTGCATGTCTCTCCAGAACCTTCAGAATCTCTGGTTGAGCAATCATTACCTGAGGATGAGATCGAGTCGAATGAATTTGAAACTCGGGACGGTGAAGGTGTAGCCGAGATGGTTGCTTTGAGAGAGTCTATCGCATATGCTATCTGTGGATGTTGATTCAGCAACTCTTCTTTATTTATTAGACTATAGATTTATTTTGTATATATTTCGTTCTATTGCGAATTTGAATTTTATGGTTTTATTAAGAATTTTGTTTGTTTCATTAAAACTTTCGAATATATAATAATGACGTGTTTGAAATTTGTTTTTAATTTTTTGTTTTTTTTTTGTGTGAGGTCAGTAATGAATGATGAAAAATATGGTCTTATTAGTTCTTCTGGATGGTCGATTTGGTGTTGTTATCTAGTGTTGCATGTGTATTCCTAATGAAGACAACTGATATCCTCCATTATTTTGGGTGCATCGGCTTATGAGGATTTATTTGGATGGTCTTTTTTAGTGATATAAACATCTGTCGGAGGACGAGTGTATCATGTTGATATTGCGTGTGAAATGCTAAAGAAGGCAACCTAGGTCATATCTTCTTCTCAATGAAGCGGTATATGAGGATCTATTGGATGATTTTTTTTGGTAATTGGCACAAGGATCCCAGGACGATCGTCTTTGTGGGTTGAATGCAACCAAGAATTCTTTTTTTAAGGTTCATTTTCTCCATTTAGTGACCGGCATGTGGGTTGGTGTGGTTACTTGTCTAAGACTGCACCCTCACATTTTTTTATGCGTATTTCGGTCGATACCGTTTTCGTTTAATTCGGTTCTCTTGTTGTTATATAGTACTTAATTTAATTTTTTGATCTGACAATTTAATTTTTTGGTTGTTTTATCTCAGTAGCAGCATGAGCTCTAGGATTTTCAGGACCTCCTGAGTTATGTTGTGTTATTGCAGGTTGTCGGCTCCCTTATGCACAGCAGTCTCATAACAGTAGAAGACAGTTCTACGGTTGTCAAAGGGGCGTTTGAGCGCAATGGGGTTCTTCCGTTGGACCTATATTCCAACATATTTCGTTGCCGACAGTATCGTGGTACAATGGTTTCCCAGGATGACAATGCAGCTGAGGACAGATGGCGTCGAAGTTTTAAATTAAATATTTTAATATTTTTAATTGTAGTTGTAATTATATTTCTCTTTATTTTATTTCTTTTGATACTCACGAGAGAGTGAGCAGTGTATTTTATTTTTTTTAAACTGATCTGTAACAGTTTGTGGCTATTACTTTATCTTTATTTTTCCTATACAGTTTTGTTGCAAACAGCTTCACCAAACAATGACAAAATAGTAATTTATCCAATAGCTGTCAATAAGCTGTTATGAATAAGCTCCCCCAAACAACAAGTCAGTTTATACTGATAATCTGTAAATTATAATATTATCAGGATAATCTGCTAATCAGCAGATTATAAATAATCTACAGCTACCCCAAACAAACCCTAAATTAAATAACAAGACAATAAATTATTATGATAAGAAAGGGAAGCAAAAAAGCAAGATGCTCATGATATAGAAAAAGCACAGGCTCCATAGTACGCATGTCATTAAGAAGGGCAGAAATATCATCAATGTCAAAAACTAAAAGTCATACCTTAGGAAGATTGTTGATACGTCTATCTGACAAATCAAGCGAAGAAGAGGCTTTCAATGCACTTGCAGTCTCCAAGTTAAATACAGGATTATCCACTCCTATAATGCCTCGACAAAATCCCAATGACCACTCTGAAGAATTATTCGTGAAGCATGAATTATAAATTTCAAGACTAGAGATGCCTTCGCGGATTGCATTTGCAACAAAACTGCTAGTAAAGTCACAATTTTGACAGTTAGTTGAACTACGTGTAAGAAGTACTAAAGAGCCAATAAATAAAAAATGACTTCAGTTAGATCTGAAAATATTTTCCTCTAGCTGCTCTAGATGTCGAAAACCAATTAAATAATAAGGGAAAAAAAGGCTGCAATTCATGTAATGGATTCAGGTTAGA